CATACATACATATACATATAATATTGTTTTAAATTTAAATTGTGAGAGGTTAACATTTATTTAACAATTTAATTTAAAGAAATTTTACGTTAAAAAATTTATTACCAGAAATCTAAAAAATTATACATATATAAGTTTACAAAAAACAATTTGTATACACAGTCATTCGTTAATATATATTTTTTTAGTTAAACATATTGTTTTACTTTCAAAACTCATCCTTTGTTATATTTCACTTTTTTATCTCTTTTTCTCCCCTGCTCGTGCGCATGAAAAATCTACGTGATTTTTAGTGGAGACGTTAAATTTTGTATTGTTCTTGGCTCGTGCAGGAAGTACAGGGAGATAAAAAATAAAAATAACGCACGCAAAAGTAATCAAAACGAAAGCCGACATCGATAATAATGCAGAAAGATGCGGGGTAACCTCGCGTGAGGAAAAACTTTTTCGGTGCTCGTCAAAAATTTTCCTGCGACAGCATCCGCCATTCCCTCGCGTCTCGCCGTGACAAATAGCGTCAGTTTCTCTTGTACGTCACGCAATTTCCTCTTTCGCAGCGGTAAAAGACACGCTTATTCGCATCCAAGTTATCCGCGCGGATATTCGCGTCGAGACACGTGCGAATCACCAACTACTGGGTGTTCTAAAATTATCGACTCGAATTGACTTGCCGTTTCTGAATGTATTTTCGAAAAAAAGAAATATATTTGTTACGTGGAAATAATTAAAAAATTTTAATATAAGTAATAATGTTAATTACTTTAGACGTTTTAACTATAAAAGATGATATTTAACAATATAAATTATTTTTAAGCTGTAAATTTTCTCAATAATCCTTTTGGAAACATAATTTTGTTAAGCGCACATGAGATCGTATTTTTTTCCATTTTTCTCATAAGTTTAAAATAAATATTGTAAACAATAATAAAGATATATGGAAAGTAGCATTTTTGGTAAAGTTCTATGATCAACAATAAAATGCTCCAAAATTAATACTAGAAAGAAATTAAATTATTCGAATTCTACATAAAAACAATACATAAAAATTACACAATACACAAAAAAACAATACATAAAAATTACACAAAGTTTTATTTTTTAATTAATTCTAGTATAGAGAGCTTTGTAATAGTAAATTTTTAATTGAAGACTTGATCTAGTTAAAAACATTTAACATTTAAATTAAAAATAAAATGTATTAATAACTGTAATTAAAAAGATTCTAAATGGCTAATATTAGCTTAACATTTGCATTTAGACATATATATGTATTATTATACATACGTGCACATTAATTAATTGTATATAAGTTTTCATATTGTTTTATTGGCCAAAATATTTTTAATTATAAAATTGGATTATGCAATGTACGTATTTATTATTTTCAATACGCTGTAATTGTTATTCATCATCAGAGTCAACAACAGCGTGGTGACGGACTCAAGTCCTTGGCCTCCTCAGAGGAAGGAAACAGTTCGAGTCAGGCCTTGATCTTCCTCAGTTTCCTTGAAGGTTTCATAGTATTTTAATTTTTATAGAAATAGGTTACTGGCCCACTGCCCAACCTTTCTGGAGGGTAATAAGCCACATATTTATAGCGTATGCTTTTTGGCAGATATATGGGACTTACAGCTCGACTCTGAACGGCCTTGTAATTTATCACGATTGCAATATTTACCAATAAATAGCTGGACGCTGTACTGCTGGTGGACTCCCTCTTCCTCTGGGACCCAAAGTCCCTCTGAATCAGCGACGTCATCTTTTTCTCATATTATTCACATATAGTGTATATTACACAGTAGTTTTACAATGGTTTTACACTTGGCGGTCAACTCGATTAATAATTTATCATACACTTTTGAAAATCAAAACACACGCACTTTATTTACGTCCACGATAAATCTGCAACAAAAAAGAAATAATAATGAAATTAAATATTCCACAATACAATTAAATATTCTTTAAAATTTACAAATATAATAAATGCAAAACCAGAACACGCAATTAAAAATATCTTATATAGTTTATGTATATACATATATGTAAATGTAAGTTATTCCTTTTTTAAAAAATATGTGTTCGGAATTTTATATTACATTATAACGTTCCGTGTTAATATTGTATCATGCTGTAATAATGTTACGTTATATAACGTGTAGACTTACATAATTAATTATTACAGTGTTGAAAAATTTATCCTGAAGTTTTAGCTAAATGATTATTAAATTATTACGCTGTCAGCAACGTTATTTGATTTAAAATACAGCCGATGAGATCTCGGCATGCGAATAACGAAATTATTTAAGATATAATACGAGAATTATGCACATGGAACTATCCCTTCCCACAGAATTTATTTGGCTTTTCTTCTTCCGCGATGATTTTCATAATGCGCAAGAAAACGGAAATATCTCGCGTCATGACTTATTCACGAATTATTCCCGTTTGTTTCGTTTTCCCATCGCATCACACTTCCGCTGTGGATTCTTTTCGAGTTTATTATCTACTTTAGAAAGGTCGTGGCCTTGACAACTTCCACGGGATAATCCTGAAACTTCTTTCAGGAAATATTCGCCGCAAGTTTCCAAACTGCCTTGCGACGTGTACATGCATACAAAAGAATTGAAAGATATCAAAGTACGCCAAAAAGTTAAAATTTTAATTGTAATAATAATTTATTATATGCGAGTTTGTAATGTAATAATTACAGTAAAAAAGTTAATTATAAAATGTAATAATTTATCACCTTTCTCTCAAATTTTACACGTAAACATTTTCTTAGATTACTTTATGTAACAAATTTGTTAGTCATTTATAATAATTTAAATAATCATAAGATAAAACTAATTAGCGCTTATGAAAAGATTAATCGAGTGCAATTAATGAATATAAGTAAAACAAATGAAACTAAATAAACGCTGAAACTTTAATTAAACTGGAATGAATTAACCTTTCCGCTTGATTCCGATTGATTACATTTAATTATCAATCTAACATGCCTGTATTTTTCCGAAAAACTACTGAGAATGAGTCATTTGGTCCATATCTTTCTCACAACAAGAAATGATTCAGCAATTCCACGATATGAACCCCTTATCTCGTTTCCGAGAGGAAAATGTCGAAACGAGTCGGAATAAATCCTAGTTATCTCAAGAAATCCTACAGAAGTTTTCTTCGGCACTGTTACGCTCCTGCTTTTTTCCGCCTCGTCCAGGCGGGAAAAACCGACGAATTATTGCGAACAGATAACCACCCAATTATATCTTAGCATGTTATTATACGCAACACAATAACTTCCGCGCTCGTTTCCTTTACAACGAGATAAGCATGAATGTCGTGAGAGCAAAACGTTCGGCGAAACGTTACACGCGAACTCACAAGTGAGTGTCCGGCAGCGGATAGATGCAAGAATATTCTCGACTGTCCGACGTCATCGTTAAGGATCGTTCGAACGATTTCGCAAGTGAGTCAATTTTAATCGAGACCAATCAGCGCGTTGTACCGCGCCGCCACCGCACTCGTCCGCCGAGCGCAGCTGCAAGTATTATATAGCAATGAACATGATGCATAGGGAATAACAGTGATACCGCGCACTCTTTATTTCCTACATTTGTTGCCCCACATACTCATTTCATTTATAATATTCGCGCGGCTACACTGACAGAAAAAAAAAGATTGCAGCTACCACAATCTCACTATAATTTCTAGTCTCATTTTAGGAGCCAACCACATTTTTATAATCCTTCCACCTACGTAAGTTATGGTTGACCTAACAATGTATTATAATTCTCTTAGACACAATATTGGCTCAGGCAACTTATGATATGGTTGTCATACACCAAAACGAGCTTTAATTTGGTAAGATGTACTATAAATATTGCAATGACAACCACAAATAACATTTCGAATCACTATACTCGTATGTAATAGTAATAATCGTATTTATATTGGAAGTCATATTTCCCGCTTTTTATTATATATACATTGCGTTCACTATGTTTATTGGTTACACAATCAGTGCAGAAATTGTAAAAATTGCATTAACTGCACTACACGACAACAGGTGGCAACAGCGACTGTACTAAGAAAAGATCTTCCTGTGATATCTACAGCGCATAGTGCTGCGTACGAGAAACTGCAGACGCCTGATACTTCTTCATGTAGGAAGAAGAGAAGAGGATATTAATCTTCAGGATGATTGCAAAATTTACCAACTCTAATTGAAATTATTTTTTATGCTCAATATCTGAATTTATTTCTCTAACAAAATCTGAATCTCTTTTAGTGTTAAATATCCTTGTAATAAATTGCGCGCGGATTAACTTGCATGCGAACTTTGGCGTGAAATCAATTTTAATAGTTTATAAACGTGAATTAACTTGTCAAAGGAATGTGAAATAAAACGAAGATGAGATGTTTTGCACGAAGATAAAAAATGACTAATTAAAATTTTCCTTAAAATCTTCTTGCATTTTGTGTTGCAAATAATCTCTACAGAATTAAATACAAGAGCAATCATTTATTTATATGTATATGCATTGATTAATAATTTAGTTAATTAGTTTTCTTAATCGTTGAGTTTTAATTAGCACTCGTATTATTGTTTCAATTAATGTTTGTTCGGGTTAAAAATATGCAATTATTCATCGACTCTTTAAAAACAAATTCGTTTCATCGGAGATAGATCTTTGGAGCTCCACATAAAGCGACTCAGACACTGTATATGATAATTTCGGGGCGATTATATATATATATATATAATACATATATGTATAGACGGCGGGTTCAAGCCTCTAAAAGGTGGGTGAACGGTATTGTTCCTCGTTTCCTCGACTGCTTTTCTCTCACGCCTATATGTATATCCGAGTGTCGTGTCGAATGTGAGAACCCATAGAGTGAAGAAGAAAAAGATGAGAAAGAAATGACGCTTCCTCCTCTTCCTTCGACAATAAATAATATGGCGGAATGCCGGTCAGTCGAATTTATCTATACGGGAGTTCACAAATTCGTACAGATAGAATTCAAAGGACTGCGAGCACGTGAGGAAGATGCATTCCTACGAGGCGCCTCCCGTAGTTCCTGTTCTCTGAATGAGAGGTAAGGCCGCCTGAGTTCAAGTCAGGTGAAGGCGGGCAGATAAATGCCGTCACTCGAATTTAAGAGAAAAAACGCTCGAGAAGAATGAATCATGGTTCGTGAGAAATCCGAGCGGGCACGCATTTGTGACTACTACTGCCAAGAATGTCATTCAATTCTTTCCAAAAAAGTTACAAAAGCAGTTTCAATTGTGTAACGACTGTGAGAAAGCTTCTAAATAGTGTTAATAATATTCAGATTTGCTTTATGCACCTAAAAACTTTATTGATATTTAGTGTTAACGTTTATTATGTATTTAATTATTTTATATGTTTACTTTATTTGTCAGACTTCACTGTAAAAGAAGTATGTAAAATTATATACACAACAAGTGTAGCGATTACACTATTAATAACGGAAAAATATAAATTTTTTATTCTTTGTTGTGTAAATACTTGTTTATAAATGATAAAAAGTAATTGTAAAATTTACACAATTAAAAGCGAGCAGCTTACTGATTATATAAGGTAATAATTTTACCTACAAGGTGTAAATTTACTGATGTACGTAAATATACACCTTTTCATCGTTATGCGCGCTTAATAACCGTAAACGCTGGACTGTTTCGTTTCGTCAAATCGCGCGGCTATACGCTAATTCGTAGATTTCTTGTCACATACATATATATTTTTTCATCGCGAAAGAATAACTTATAGATCTGTTTAGCTAATCCTATACAACTCTTTAGTATGTAGCGATAGATGTACTAAGGTTACATTATTTGATTCAGTTTCATATCGTTTAAACAAGAATCATTAAAAATATTACTACTTGAATAAATTATATGAAATTATTTAATTAAATCTATTATCAATAATGATAAGTAAATTCAACCTTATTAAAGCCATTATTAATAAATAAATAACGTAAAAAGTACATCGCACTAAAATCGTTTCGATCCATTTGCTGACCAATTAAAATAATATACCGAAATAATATATCAAGATATACATACATGATATATCTACACGCATCACTTATGTACACATCACTCACACCCATACACTGTAATTATAATTAATTTTTCTCTTATTCCCTTTTCAAGTTATCACTTATAAATTGCGACGGATAAAAAAACACCGATAAACAATATTCGAACAATTGAAACTACACTCGCCATAATTAACAATAATTGAACGTGACTTTGCTGCCAACTGAACAGTGCAAGGTTCGAGTTGGAAAGCGATATTATTAGCGGCAGGAAGAAACGACGACGAGAGCAAGGGGGCCTCGGATACCACTGGTTCCAGTATTAACGCCATCGTCACCATCAACCGCTTGCAACCACCACCACCGACACCACCATCATCATTTCTGCATCGAGTTACTTATGTTACTGTTGGAAGTGCCGACAACGACCTCAGAGAGGCGTCAATGACTTTTATAAATGAATTAATATCTATGTATATGTGTAAATCTTATACAGTGTATTGAAAAGAAAACAATTTTTCACGAAAAGATAAGACGAAAGAGTAAAATCCAATCCTCGATCAGATCTTTTGAGGTACATGTTTTCAAGAAGACTAATTTAAAGATTAGGAAATTAACCGTATACCATATTAGCGCTTTTTCAAATGCACACATTTGGTATAAGTAAATTTAGAATAAAATATTTAGATACTAACACGTCACGGCTCGTAGTCCTTTATTCCTCCAAGTTGTGTTTAATACATTTGAGCCATACCAATTTTATTAATTTGTTAATTTATTTAAATTATTACTAACCAATAATGAATAAAAATTTTAATAAAGTTAATAACTTACTAATAGTAATTTTAATAATTAAAATTTTAATAATTAAAATGTTAACGCTAACTTTTGTAATACAAATAACAATTTTTAAAATTAATAATTTGTAAGTTCGGCAACGCTGTCATTTTCGGATTATTATCATAATACGATTACTTAATTTTTAACATTATTCTATATAGGTACCTTTCTGATTGTTGTTTCGACAATTATATTGAAAAACCGTCTTCAACATAAAAAACCACAAATTGTCGAAGTTCTCTAAAATTTGTATGAAGTAAATGGTGTTTCATACAGTAACAGCTGATTAGTTATTAATATCTTGCATAAGCGCGCGGCTCGTTGCGCGATTAAACAACGCTTTATTTCCGTTCGAAGTTGGTTATTATCGCGTAGCTAACCAATTTTCTTTACAATAAATGCATATCTTAACTACATCGAAACAAACACTTTATTAGCATAATCGAATCATGTAAGTAGTAATGATATTGATTAATCTTCATGTAGCAAAGTATGAAGTCATTTTATTTTTCTTAATTATAAACGAAGGAAAGCATTGAATTAGTTCTTTTTCTTTAACAATGTGTACATTACTAATAAATTTTCTGTTCGTCGATAATAATATGACGTAATATACGTGACATAGTAATAAAAAAAACAATGAGATACTTCTTCTTTTTAACAATTATTTGTGTGTGCGTGCGCGCACTGTAAAAAGTTCGTTGCGTAATCGGACAATAGTAATCATCGAAAGGATCTTATTGCGTTTTAATTTAGTAGGTTATTTCCAGAAGCTAGCGGCGCACTTTTAATTTGTTTATCGTTGAGTTGTGTTTTCAAATCCCGGAAACGCGTACAATTGCGAGGATGTAAAATCGACAGAGAGAGAGAGAGAGATACACGTCGAAATCATTGTTGATTAGTCACTTCCGGATGCGAAAAGAGAAGAAAAATAGAGAGAAAAATTGTTATCATGCCATCCTGCGTCCTCTGAACTTAGGATAAAATAAAATTAATGTTACTTATAATCTTTGTTCAATTTATAATACATTATTATTTATACGTATAAATTAATTAATGAAATATCGATAAATAATCAAACTTTATTGAAAATATTTTCAAAAAAATTGACTTTTAAATTTAATTAATTAATATCTCAGCTTTTAATTCTAGCTAGTTTTATTCTAAACTAACAAAAGCACTTAAAACAAGGCCTAATCGACATTGGATAGACGGGTCAAGTTTCCGGGTTTAATTGGGAGCTAATTAGCATCACAAAAGGCTGGGCGGGTATGGCGGCGGTGAGGACAACTAGTTCGGTATGAATTTCGCCACCTTTGCGCATCACCGAATTTTCGGTCGTACAATCAATGGATACTTTGATCATTTATAATTAATTCGCTACTTTTCAAGCACATTTTTCTAGTACATTCAATTTTCTTTTGTCTACTTTAATGGCGATTAAAAGATGTTGGCATCACTAACACCGTTAGTTTTATTCAAAAGCCCCTGGGCATAACTTTGCATCATTTGCCTTCTACAAAAAAAAGTACAACGGTCCCTCTATGTAAGTTGGAGTGCCTGTAATTCTTTTTACCCATCGCACGCATATTAATGTATTCACTCGTGTAAAAGCTAGTTCCAATAAAAATATTCATCTGAGTTCACTAAAAGATAAATATTGTGATTACATTTAATTATGTTCAGCCAGCAGTTATTAATGTTTATCTACTACACTCTTAAATTATGCAAATTGCTTGCCACTAATGACAGAAAAGTGTATAGACATTAAAGAATTAAATAGCAGCAGTCGAATAACAATAAAAATTAAACGAACATGTAAGTTAATTAAATCATCATAAAATATGTTATATTTACATGGTGTATACAGTATATATATAATATTGTATATTGATAAAGTACATAAATTAAGTAATAATAAATAAAAAAAATCGTATAATATATAAAGATATACATATAAGCATATTTCAAATAAAAATATATCTGTTAAAAAGCAATTAACACATTATTATTTTTTCCATATTGAATTTATTCGCGCTGTCAACATTATCGTGAGAATTGTATCTAACAGTATCAAGTAGCAACGTGAACAATAGCAACATATAAATAACGTTGATAAAATAATTTTTTTGTAAACTACAATCAAGATTGTAGGAACGCGAATTAGAAATTTAAATCTATACATTTGAATATACAATCCTTGCAATTTACGTAACATATTCAACGTAGTCACGTAATAGAAAAATGAAACTTGTTATGCAGTTAACATTAGCTGAATTATGAATATTGAAATAACGATCGTTGCATGCCATTGCAATTTTGTGAGTGAATAATTTATATTTGTTAAGATTATTGAAATAATCGCTTGTAATTGTAGAATCATAATGGTTTTATGATTTCTAATTTCAATTCAAAATATGATCTTATTAAATAGTTGTATGCAGGGTGTCTCATTTTAAATTATCCATACAAATGTCTTCAAAAATATGAAAGATACGGAAAAACGGTTCAAATAAAAGTTGTTTGGTTCGAAGGGGGACATAGGGTGGTGCCATTAACTTCACCTTGGATAGTCATTCGAAAGTCAGTGAAGGTCACCTTCAATCTTTTAAATAGAAACTCCTATTGTATAATAGGAGTTTCTATTTAAAAGATTGAAGGTGACCTTTTATACTATCTTATTCTACTAATTAATATGAACAACTTTTGTCTGAAACATTTTTTTATTTGCCTAATACTTCTTAGATATTCAAAAGAAAATTTATAACTTTTTCAATGTTTAGCTTATGACATCTCGATAACTGTTTGTCGGAGGGAAAAGTAGTACAGGACTTTTTTACTTGATTTGGTTTAGGAATATACTGTTGCAATACTGTTCCAATTATTGAAAATTTTTGTGTATGTAAATTTTATGTGTTACAATACACAAAAATTTTCCATAATTATTTGTTGCCTCGGTCAAAAGAAGGCTCGTAGCTTTGAGTTCGGTAGCCAATAGAACATTATTAAAAGCAGCGTACTTGAAATTAGTAGTTGAAGCCGTTTAATGATATATTATTATGCGTGTGGCAAATTGTCGATTCCTTCTTCAACATGACAAATCGCGGAAGCTTCCTACCTTGTCCCGACATAACCTTTGTATAAAGTATGTATTTCATGGACAAATGCTACGAAATTAAGTCTCCAAATGAGATTATTACTCGGTATATTAACCACGGACAACCTATCGACAGCTGCATTCTTTATAAAAGAGCAACGAAAACTAGTCACATTACATCGGTAGTTTCAAGAAAATATATCGGATTAAATTTGTTCGTCTTTCTGTGCACATTGTAATTAAAGACACTGTAAAATGGGGGCACGTTTACAAATCTGCGCGATTATAATTATACTGGGCGCGGTGAATCAAGCAAATGCTGTAAGTTATACATAATAACTTATTACAGACAAACGCGTTTCTCATACAAAACTTTATCTTTTTTGAACTGTAAGATAAATTATAAGACATTAAGAGAAAATGTTATGGAAAATTTTCGACTTTATATAAAAAGAAAATATTACTGTACAATTAATAGCAAACGATGAAGAGATTTTAATAGAATTTAATGGATTTTATAGTATACATTTTTTATATAAACGTAAAACTTTTTATGTCACACGTTTATTAGAAATAATTAAACAAATAGTGTTGTCTGTGTTAAAGTAAATTTTAATTAGTAATACTATTATTTTCTTATTGAAAAAAGATTTATTTACATGCACATCTAAAAGTGAGCAAAAGTTTTTAATATTTTCGCGATACAGTTAGTTTAATATGTTACACTTATGTTAATCTATTACTGGAAACACAAAATGTGTATATATAAATTAAATTTTATTCTAATGTAGGTGATGACAATGGAACAAATTCATAAAACCGCGCAAACCATGCGTAATACGTGTACGACGAAGTCCCACGCAGACGCCGGTAAGTGTTATACAAATGTTCCAAAGTTTAATTTGTAATGCCTGTGTCCAGTCTCAATTCCCATGATTGATATAGCGTTAACCGATATAATAGTGCAAAATAATAAGAATATTCTTCAAGTCGCCAGCAGTAATTAACAACTTCAGTGTTTTCTTGACCATGTCTGGTATTTTTAATAATACAGAAAATTTATCGCGAAAAATATTATCTCAGCCAGGGTTTGAACCTGGACTTCCTACCTACACTCTAGGCGGGAGTCTCATCAATTTGACAATAGTACAAAACTTCATAATAACTTGGTACTTTGAATAGTAAACTCCATAAAGTCGAAAAAAAACTCATAAATAATATTGTAATAGTATCGTATAATAAGTATCTAATAATATCGAATAATATTGTAATATATAATAGTATATTGTACATAGTAATACGTTACGTACATAAATTATTTAATACATGTAGGCATGTATATCTAATTCTAATTAAGAAATATTAAAGAGAGGAAAACATTAAGAAATGAACAATGTCTTGAGATAAAATCAAATTACGCACATGATACGACAACGTATGATTCCGTTTGTAATTACAGTAATCATTGCTTTAATTCTTGCTTACGAGATTCAATGCCATTTACATTAGAGACTAGTTTTCAACTGTTTTTCTTCGCATGTACGAATAAGAATTGCATATCGGTGTCTTAAATCTCAAATTTCTAATTTTTAGAAATTAATTACTTTTTTAAAAACATATCAATATTGTTTAAAATTTGAAATTTTTTAAATAAATTTTAATCGTGTAATTGGCAATATTGTACTATTGCAAATCATGATCTTTTCTTAGATATTACTGAACATTTGTTTCTGGAGTAAAAAGGAATAACTTTAGTCACAACTTCGACAAAGACAAAGCAGTATATGTATAAAAGTCATACTTTTAATATAACTTTGTTTGTTAAATTTTATTAAAACTTCAAAATATGAATTCTTTTATGTTTTCTTTCTACAGGAGCTGTCGCAGGAATACAAAAAGGCGAATTTCCAGAGGACCAAACGTTAAAATGCTATACGCTTTGTATAATGAAGACAATGCGAACTGTAAGGAACAAAAAATATACTAAATTTAATAAATAAAATATCGTACGATTAAAAATAATTCAATAAAATTATTAAAAATTACATTAATAAGTGCTTCAAGATAAGGGTGCATTAATGTATTTGCAATAATTTTAAATTATGTTTCTTCAAGAATGTATAATAATACAAATTATTGCATGTATTATTGCTTAATATCAAAATATGAACAACTACTTAAATTCACCTTCTTTACAATTAAGTTCAAAAATGGACGCATAGATGATGGCATGATGATTAAACAAATGGATCTGATGATGCCACCTGAAATGGCGACTCCTTTGAAAATAACTACGGCTAAGTGCGTAGCAGAACGTAAGTTTAACTTTATAAAATAAGAAGTTAAAGAAATTTTAGATAAAGATAAAAACATTTTAAGTTTATCGTTTTTATTCTGCAAAATAATTATAGTTTTTGGAAAATCACGTTCTAGTATGTTTTTTCGTAAAGTACAACTCAACAGCTTTCCATTGTGGTATTAATACTCAAAAGAACTAAGATTTGGAAAAGAAATACATTTTTATCCATTAGCAAAAGCCCTCATTGTGTTAATATAAAAAAGGATGTGTAAACGGAATTCTTCTGTTTTTACAGCGCCTGGTGCCGATGATTGCGATACAACATTTCGATTTGTGAAATGCAGCTATCAAACAGACCCGGATCACTTCTTCTTTCCTTAATCGAAATTAAACGCAGATAAGAATATAATACGATTGCATACAACGAAAAGATGTAATTAGGTTTAGGATTAGGTAGATATATTAATTTCAATCATTTGTGTCATGAGAGTTGAGTAATTGTAAATTTATGAACTAATAGATTGGGACAAGATGTACTAAACATTACTATACATAATTATACATTACTAATATTCATTAGTAATAATAATAACTCATAATGCAATACAGTGATATAGGTATTATTTAATTATTATAATTAACAATCAGTTAGTCTTAAACGCGTACCAGGGTAATAGTTAATTTTATTTAAAAATAAAAGCTCAAAAAGTAAAAGGTGTACATATATCATATACAGTGATGGACAGAATGGTTGCGACACTTTTTAAAAATGAGTTTAGGAACTCGAGAAATAGATCGGAAACGCTCAAAATGATTTCGGAAGGGCCATCGAGTAAAATATTCCTTGGAGAAGAAGATTTTGAAATGTAACTCTGAATCTAAATGTATGTTTCTAAACTCATTAAAAAAGAAGTGTCGCAACCATTCTGTCCATCGCTGTGCATGAAAAATATTCCTAACGACACAATATGCATATAGTGTATGAATATTCGAAGAATATCATGAACTTATAGAAGTACTATAGGCATATTGTTCGAACATTTGATACAAAATATTATATGCTTTTAGGGACGGATGACTAAAGTATAGACATTATTAAATTAAAATGGTATATTTTTCAGATTGCCAGTATTAATATAAATAAAATTTCAAATTTTAATCGACCTCAGCTGGACACATTTATTGAATGCGCTTTCACAACAATTCGACCTTTGGTTTAGGTCCTTATCAAGTGAGATCTAGGAGTAAATGTTTTTCCTTATATGCTACTGGTTGGCGACTGCCATAGACAGGTGACTCAGCGGCCAGTGAGCAGAAACAATTTTTTCAAACAGGAACACCGTTATTATTTTTTCACAGTTTGTGTTATAATTATTGTCCTACAGATCTTAAGCTGCTGTATAGAATAGAGTAAAGCCAACGGCACACGATACTATTTTTCCTACTGGATTGCTTACGAGAGCCAATCAGAATGCAGAGTTTCCGATCAGATGACTTAAGGCTGAATCCTGATTTGCTCTCGTAAGGAATCCAGTAGGAAAAATAGTATCGTGTGCCGTTGGCTTAAGCAGTAAAATTTTTGATAATAGGTTTTACAAGTGTCATTTATTAACTACTAATTTCATGCTGTAAAACTAATATTTAACTTTGTGTGTTTGTGTAACGCCATCTTTTTATATGGTCTAAGCTGGACCACCGCATGTTTACTAAATTGGACCAGTTTAGAGACTGTTAGGAAAATTAATAATTTCTTTTAATTTCTACAATATAAGTGATATATTATTTTATGTGAAGAGGTAAAGAAAGAAGACATGATCCAGTGTATATGGATTGTAGACCATGGGTTTACACGGCGTGCCAATAAGCCCAATGTAGGCAACCTTTCCCATATAAATATAAAAAAACCGTGTAAATAATACACTCTTTTAAAATATATAAAATACACATATAGTGCTAATCAAATTATATTTTTATTACATCTTTATTACAAATTATATTCATAATAAAACGTTACATAAATCATGAAAGGAGCAGAGTTTCTAAATAGTCTTAATAATTACCGTTTTCTAATTTAGAATAATTTAAATAATAAAGTGAAAAGAATGATTCCCTTATAAAAGTAAGTGAATAGATTCATTCATTTCTTAAAATTAGCCATGGGCTTTCACTCTAATTTTCTTTAGCGGTCAGTTTTTATCACAATCAACAGTTATTGAGAAGCTTACATTTATTTTTCTTTTCAAAATTTAAAAATTAAAACAGATAAAACTAAAATGAAGAAAGTAATGCTTAAAAGTAAAACAATTTCATATAGTTATGAAAAGAATAATTGAAAAAAATGTAAAAAGATAAAAGCTGAAGATGAAAAAATTAATTTGAAAGTTAGAAAACTGTAGCCAATTATTAATATAAATCGTTTCTAAGGAAAGAGTCATCTTGTTTCTTGATGCTTATTTCCTTATACACTGTACATCGTCAAATACAGAATCGCTAGACCGCGAACAATACACTTGCATAATGCTGTGGTTATCCGATCTCCGGGAATGATAATAAGACTCGGGTGTCAGTATTAGCGTTAAGTATCGTTAATTACATCAACCAAAATGGTAATTTAGACGTATTAGGATGCGCCACCTCACAAAATTAAGGGTTCTCCTTCTATTTTACTTCCGTATATAAAAGTAAACGGACGTATTTTGCATGCAATTTGCAAGAGTCAGACTTAGAGATTTATCAGGAGACCTTATCACTCTAAAAAGAGATTTCAAAAGCTCAACAAGATTAAAAGCAACGTATAAGAATGAAAGGCAGTGGTACAATTTTTTTCATTTCGTTCGTGCTCATGGTGTATCTTCAAAATACAGAGTGTGTAAGTCTTTTAAAACCATAAAGAAAATGTAAGTACACCAATGAATGAGAAAAATTAAAAGAAATCATAAAATTTGTTGATATCGAATATTGTATTTAATATTCAAATTGTTGAAAATATATTAAATGTTTTTAATATTTAAAAAAATTGAGGATTGAGAAGTAAGAGATTAAAGGCTTAGTATAAACATTTACTAATTTGTACATACACCTAGAAGATGCAAATATAAAAAAAACATAATATTTTACTTACAGGTAAACCTGCCTTTGTGTTTCTTTTAATAAAACTCATGTCAGTAGAATCTTAGAGTAGTTTTTAAAAAATAATAAACATGTATTTGTGTTAAATCGACAATGTTACCACTTTAAAGACATGAACTTCCCTTTACATATAAATCGTTGCATTTAAACTCTTGCATTTAAAACATTATAGAATTTTATACTTTTTACATTGACAACAGCTCTATATAAGTTTAAATGCAACGATTAAATTATTTATGCTTATAAACACAAAGAATAGTTTTCGTCCTTAAGGTTGCACCATTGTTGATATATAAAAATATGCGTCTACTATTTTTGATGACTCTACAATTCTTCCGAGTTTTATTAAAATCGACAATGACACAAAAATATTTGTTTACTTGTTAGTAAAAGAGTTAAAATATATTTTGATTGAACACTTCTTACATCTTCGATACTTAGCAATTAAAAATTATAAGATAATTAAATAAAAATAGAATCGCATATTTTTTACAATTATTTTGTAAAAGTAGATTTGTTGGTGTATTTGTTTTATAACTTATACATATACACGATTTACTTTAAAAGGTTTCAAGGTTTTTCCACTTATTCAATTATTTTTATTATCGCAGAAAAAACTGAATTTCGAAGAAATAAAAGAGGCTCTAACACCGCTAAGGAAGTTTTGTATTGACAGGGTGGGCACGGATCCAAGTATGTCAAAAACTGCAGACTTTTATGTGTATCACAAATTTATGTAATGTGTACAACCATATTTCATATTTATATGTAATAATTGTACAATTATATAACAATGTTTCTTAAGTTAGAAGAAAATTTATACTAATTTAATAATATGTAATATAGTTAACGTTTGATTAATATTAAAATATATTTACAATCGAATAACTGCAATTATGTAAAAATGTTATATTACATTTTTAGTATCATGAATTTTTCTTTAACCAAAACTTTAAAGATATCCTGTATTTTTTACATGTAAAATTGGTTTCAATCGAATTGACTAAAATCTTCATGTGTTGTACGTTTCCACCTACTGAACAAAAGTCTAATTGTAAGTGAGTTATATGTATAATGATAGAAAACTCCAAATCTACAAAACATGTATACAGAAAAACGCGTCTATATACCTAACCGACCACTCATCTCCCACGTATAAACACACACATACGCGCGCACGCAGACACACTTACAAAACAATATGTCCGTGAAAGTTAAAAATAATAATTTTTCAATTTTATTTGAGTTGATTTGGCGTGTTATCTAGTTTTAAAAATTGAACCTCTAAAGAGGTTTGCACCCATTAAGACTTTCGTTCAGAAAATGAAAAATTATACCAAACAAGATTTTAGCCAATTCAATTTAAATCAGTATTACATATAAAAAGTACAGAACCCTTTAACATTGCAAGACAAATTTTATTATTCATGAAAATTGCAATTGTTAATTTTAGATTTTGTAAATTTATGTATTTATTAAAATCAAGTCACTGTTCCGCCTTTCTCAAAGAAAAAACATTACATAATATACAGTCTTTTAGTTTCGTTAATTTTATACAGTCCACTGTCTGTGTCCACTTTAGTTTTCTGTTTTCCAAATAGGAGTATCGATTTTTTAAAAACTGATCTTTTCAAACTTTGATTCCAAGTAACTTATGAATGGATAAATATATCAATCACAGCCTTGGGCTAAAATTGTTTTTATGCCCTTTTAAATAATGTAGAGAAGTCCTCTATTATGAGATAAAATCCTAATATGAAATAGCGGGATTTCTGTTAAATTAATAGGCATCATTAGTTGATTTCCATGAATTTATTGCCCTTGGAACGAAATCTGTTTAGTAGAAAATTCATTGTTAGCTTGTGTAATCGTTGCGAAAAAAGATTTGTGATTGAATTTGGGTATTGAAAACCTGCTACCTCATATTAGAAACCTATCTCATATATGGACTTCCTCTACTAATATGGGAGGTACGATTTGAGATATTTAAATTGGGGCCCCCTGGCGCCTGTTGGAGAGGGGAAAGGAGGCAATCTTTCCAATCTTCTTAAAAGAGCTCCTCGAAATGATTAAACACGTGTTGCGCGTTTTTCATAACTTTGAACGTTTTTCTAAAATATAGGGGATGGGTACGGACTTTGTAGACACTCTGAATAATAGATATTTTGCATAATATGTGAAAATTAAAAACAGTTGGTTAAAAAATAATAATATAGTGAAAGTAAAGAACACAATAAGATTCTAATATCGATTTATGCATAGAAATGATCGAGAACGCAAACAAAGGCAACTTTTCACCGGATCGGAAATTGAAATGTTACTACAAATGTATGTTGCTGAATACGAAAGTGGTAAGTAAAATTTCAGTAATTTTCTACAAATATGTTTTGAATTTTTTAAAATCATTTGAAAAGAAAAAAATTGAAATAATATGTCTTTGCGGTGCAAATCAGTTAATTACAGCTACTTAAATTTTGCTCTCTATAAACCCTAATTATACATGGAAACTAGATAAATATAAGAAATTAATATGACTCCATAAAAAAATTAATAAAGCAATTATCCATATTAGTTAAATGGTTATCATTCAAACTTCATACTCGGAAAACAAGATTGATATTAATAATAAAACGTGTGTACAGGACAAACTGACGCATTATTAGCATCTAATTACTTTCTACATAAATAAAAACCTAATTATATACTTTACTTACAATCTTAATTAATAATTATCTACAGAAATACATTTTTCTTTCTTTTTCAGATGAAGAATGACAAGTTGGTTGAAATAGCTTTCAAGAATATAGTGGAACTCATGATGCTGGACGAACTTCAGCCAGATTTCATCAAAGGGATGGACACTTGTCATTCAATTGGTAAGCAAAACTAATATAATTTTTTAAAAATATTTCAAATAAAATAAAAATATTTCAAATGTTTTTATAAAAGATTTCGTAAAATATGTACAATTTGTTTGTTTTCTATTTTTATAGCAACAAAATCATTGGAAGGATGTGAGCTCGCATATGAATATATAAAATGCCACTACAATTTTAAGCCGGTAAGATATATATTAATAACCTCGCAAATCTTAACAGTAATGAAAGATTGGAGTTCTACACGGAGAGATCGATATGGTTAACACATGTCTAATTAGGGTTGGCACAACCCGAATAAATAGTAATATTTGGGGCAACTATATCTGTATTTGTCATACCCACGTTGGTATGATAAGTAGTGGAGACAATCATATGCGTTTTGTGCAGCAATTTTAGAGAATGTTGCAAAACAAAACAATGTAGATGCCCCCTACTATTATACAGGGTGTTAGGGATAAGGTGTCCATGACTTCATATTCAGATAGAGGGGGATAAACTGAAAAGAAAAGATATATACCATTTTGTAAAATTTCCAATAGTTACCGAGTAATTAATTAAAACGTCGGAACGAATGAACGCGTAGGAAACGGCCGGACTCGGTAGGCCGGATCGATCGATGAGCGAGAGGCGGAGCAACACCGCGCCGAAAAAATTGTTATGGCGCGCCGCGTGATCAGCGAGCGTCGCGGTCGTGCCTCTGTTGATGATGTGCGTGGGCCAATAGTTTCTCAACGTTTCGCGCGCGTTGGTCAAGTATCGCCGAGAAATTATTGTTACGCGTTTCTTTCTTTCCGTGATATTTCTGTATAAATATTTCACTCAGTCTATAAACTATGATCATTTTTTTCTATCAGTGTATAAACGTATAAGAGAGCAAACTTTAAGTACATTACTTTAAAATGTTGCCCATTAGAGCGACTGGTCAAATTTTTTACTCGCATTTGATATCTAATCCGAATTTAATCAACCAACGCTAAAAGTCTTTTGGCTTAACTTCTTGACTGAGATTAGTTTTTAAAATTGAATGCATGTTTCTTGGTCTTCTAAGAAATAATACTGCAATTTGTTTATCCATTATAGTTATTCTGGAGTTAAGTTTGCCATATTTTGGGTACTTTTATACTAATTCTACAGGGTGCTCCACAACATATTGAAGACCGGTCATGGGAAGGTAGAGGGGACTAAGACAAACAGAAAAGTCCTGTACTATTTTGCGCTTGGACGAATAGTTATCGAGATACTGAATTTTAAAAATCGCCGTATTAGTCCAACCCACTGGCAAATGCAAGCGCGCGGTGAGTAGCGACCATCGCTGCGAACTTTGACGCAGTGCGAGGAGACGTGCGAGTGGTCGCATAAGCGGCGGACGGGCTCGCCGCGCATCGCCATCCTACTCCTCGCTACACACCGCCTCGAGCGGGGCCGCTAAGCAGACGCATCTCACCGCGCGCTTACATTCGCCAGTAGGTTGGGCTAATACGTCGATTTTTAAAATTCAGTATCTCGATAACTATTCGTCCAAGCGCAAAATAGTACAGGAATTTTCTGTTTGTCTTAGTCCCCTCTACCTTCCCATGGCCGGTCTTCAATATGTTGCGGAGCACCCTGTATACTAATCTATAGAGAGGGGCAAAAGTTCCGGGACAACTAAATATCTCAGAAAACATTGATTTATTCGAAAAATGTTTCAAACAAAAAGAATAGGATTTAAGAAAATTTATTAGCAGATGGTATTTATTTGACCTTGGGATGACCTTGAAAAACCCGGTCAAAATCAACATAAAAATGTTGAGTGTAAATCCCTGAAAATCGCAGTGAGTGACGTCGCTCGATACGTGACCACCTCTCGCTACCGCGTTCTAGGAGATATAAACAAATAAACCATTTTGCATGCCTGCCGGGTCCAGCCTTCCGCTCCTTGTGCGTTCATTCAGCCAGACGTTTTTATCAATTACGCGATACTATTGCTAATTTTGCAAAATGGTACATGACTTTTCTTCTCAGTTTAACCCAATCTACCGTCATATTTAATTTGGCTACTAACGAGTCTGACACTCTGTATATTATAAATAGTAATTAAATTACGATTAATAAATTATACAAAGTTATTCTTTGAAATTTATATAAAAGAAATATTTTCTAAAGTAAACGAAATATTCTCTAATAAATGTGTGACAAAGGCTCGTATGATATAAATCAGAATCGAGGAGAAAGGGCTCTGAGCCGTGACGAGATGTACGTGTCAAATTATAAAATAATTTATTGTTAAACTAACATAAAGATTAACTTAAACGTTTCGGTCGAATTCTAGACCATCTTCAGTAATATACAATAATTTTATACAAAGTGTCTTTTTCCGAGAGATTCTCAAACATAGTAAGCAAATTCGATTTTAGAATAGCTTACTCCTGCCACCATCCTCTCGGAAGATTCATTAAGACTGGCAAAGACAAACTAGACAAGTTAGCTCATAGTGATGTGGTGTATAAGATCCCTTGCAAGGATTGTGATGCCACATATGTTGGTCAGACAAAAGGACAATTAGGAACCAGAGTAAAAGAACACTACAACGACATTAAAAGGAACCTCGCATCCCCCTCTGTCATATCTTGCCATAGAATGGACGCTTCACATGAATTTGATTGAGAAAGCGTTGCTATTCTTGACGAGGAACCTTCATACCACAAAAGATTGATCTCAGAGATGATTCATGTAAAAAGACAGGTCTATTCTCTGAACAAACAATCTGATACATAACTATTATCCGAAGAATACCTGCCTATTTTAAACCTACTCCCTCCTCCTAAATAATTGTTCCCCCCACTCCTCCTCTCTTACTCCCCCCTTCTCCCGTACATCCTACTTTCTTCTCTTACTGTAAGATAATTCTCATGCCATTTGCCAAGTTACCTTGCTACGACCATGCTGACCAAATTGATCCAGTTCACAGCATTTCCAACATAACTAATAAGTACGTATTCTAATTCTAATTCTGTTTCTCCTACCAATTATAAAACCAATTTATATTTTTCCTTACAGCTCATTTTGGTACATTGCCTTTATTTCAACCTGCGTTTTTTACAATGTTGTACACGACATGCGTTTTAATATGTTATATATGTTAACCGTCACGACACTTTGTATAAAATTATTGTATATTACTGAAGATGGTCTAGAATTCGACCGAAACGTTTAAGTTAATCTTTATGTTAGTTTAACAATAAATTATTTTATAATTTGACACGTACATCTCGTCACGGCTCAGAGCCCTTTCTCCTCGATTCTGATTCTCTAATAAAATAATTATTCAATAATTCTTAAAATTACTTATATTGTATACAATTATAAATAATTTTGTTTTTACAGGGTAACATGTTTCTATGAAGATATCTCTTTCAATGGATCCTCCATTTAAATACTATTAAAAAGATTTTGGACACATCTTGGACACATAAAACATGTAAGGAGTATGATATGATACCATGTATTATGCATCTAATTGCAACACATGAAAACCGAGGAATTACGAAAATATATAAAATATATTATAGTATATGTTAATCACACGATTTTTACCCTAATATGTTTTTTATTTTATGCCCTTTCCTTTAATACAAAATAGAAAATAGAAAATAAATATAATGTACGGAAACATAATAAACAGTAAAATCTATTCCTAAGTTTTCAATATTTAATAAAATCTTAATGATATTTGATAAATGTCCTAAATGTTTAACGTAACTATATTTAATCGTTGCTTTAAATATTAGGTCATCCAAAAAGTTCTGAGAATTTTTCAAACTCTAAAACTTTTCATATGTATATCTATAAAAATGAAACCTGTAACTAAATGCATTCGTTGATTTATGTCTTTTCACATATTCTTTGAAAAGATAAACGTTACACGTTTTTATCTGCTCCAAGTCTTATTCATCTCTATTGTTATCAAATTACCCACGGAGTTAAAAATTGAAATAGATTAAAGCATTATTCCGGATGTAATGTAAATTAGCAATGTAAATTAGATCGCCGCAAGTTTCCAGAAAATGTATATAGCATTTACAAGCATGCTATTACATCACCAACTACATTCGAAGTATAAATACGCAGTTAGGGTATTGAGAAGTCTTACAGTGCAAGGAAAAACGCTACGGAATTAATGTGCCTCACAATATTTTCGAAGAACAGGATGAAAACTCCCGTGTTTATCGCATGTCTTTGTGTAAGTTGAAAGTAATAGTATGAGCCTAATATAATATGTACATATACAATAACATAAAATAAGGTTCTATGGTATTGTGGAACTTGTATCGAATTTGTAGAGAGAAATTTTTTTATCGAGCTGCAGTGTGTCAAATATACGTAATTTTAAGGAACAAAACAATGTATTTTTTTTAAAGCACAGAACGAGGAAGATGAACATATTTAAATAAATCGTTGACAATGTTTTAAAGTTGAAACTTGAAGCTTTAAAACGCTTTTTTAATTTGGAGTCTACGATGATTTTTCACCGAGTTTCAGTGGTTTGAAAATAGCCCAATTTTTAGGGTATGAAAAGTGTTCTCTATTTTTTTTAGTAGTGTATGTTTTTAATCATTTTGTACATATACATATATTAATCGAATATATTATAGCTGAATACGGATATTATGCGAAACTTAAAATAATAATAATATTATTACGTTGCAATTGTACATCACTTGAATTTTAGACTATAATTGAAATAACATATTTGTAACAGTAATAAATTATTGAGCTATGTACGTATATCCTGCTCGGACCGTGGCTGTCGTATTTCTTATCGATTTTAGACAAATACTGCCACTGTGGACATTTAAGACAAAATAATTAATAAAATATATATTTAAAAGAATATTGTGCACTATTGCATTAAAACAATAGCACAAAGCTCATTCATCTGTAATATATAATCATTTACTTAAATATATGTAAAACAAAATTATATCATTTCACCTCTTCTCATCTCAATATGTTGCATAAATATATATTCAGAATATCTAAATAGATCATTTAAATATGATGTAAGTAATATTTTAAATATAAGTTATTAGAAAATATATAATATAAAAAATATATTAGGAAACGTACAAACCTAACTAAATCTTTTGGATTTCAGGTAGTGGTCTACGCCACCAATCCAGAAGTAGTGACACATATCCACGACACCGTTGCAAAATGTTCCGAGGAATTAAACAAACAGCGTAAATATTGAATATTATATTAATTATTTAATCTTTGCCTTGCGGCATTAAATGGCTTCCGTTTCTACATTTGTTTCTGTTAGTGTGTGTGTAATAGTGTATGTAGGCGGTCTGACAATACCTCTGAACTTGTTCAATGATAACAGGAGCCGTAACTGATAATAGGAACTGATATAATAATTGTTAGATCAGTATAAATAAAATTGTGGTAGACTAGAGTAGTTTCAGATGCATATTTTTTTTCAGCGACTGAATCCGAGACAATCCATTGTCTTCTTCGCAAGGAAAATGTGGTAGGTATCTATTTATTTCTTGTATAAATATAGTACATTTTATGTGTGGAATGTCGTTGCACAAGTATCATTCTCCTTTATATCTTAAATTAATTAAGAAACTAAACTTTGTCACACATAAATACAATATAATAATTGAAGTTGTTATGCGAGAAATTACAATCGCACGTCAATCATGAAAACGATTTATACAATGTATCAAATAATTGAAAGTTAAGCCAATGTTCTCTGCACTGGCATGATGTAATATGGTGTAATATTATAAATACATATATTGATACATCATTATGATAAAAATTGTAATTAAATTTGAATTAATACAATAAATCTACTTGTATTTGTCAATATAAATGATACAAATCTTACAAATTCGAAATTTTATTAGCAGAAATATCAAGATATTTTTGGTTTACGAACAATGTAACATCTTTATTTTAAATGTCGTACACACATAAATTATACTAAATAACTATTATCTTTGAGACAACAAAAATGTACTATTTAGCGATTATTAAAGAAAAGAATTATTATAGCCTGACCATCTTTTCCGTATGGCCACAATACTCAGGCGAACCTGTATGATTTCCACAAAAATTTAAAATACTTTTTTTTATCGATTTTTTATGTCTAATAAATAATTAACATTATACATATAACTTTATTGATTTCAGATCGATGAACAGGGAAAATTTATATTAGAAAAGGGTTTAGATATACTTGATGAAATTATATCTGATGAAACCAAAAGAAACCAAGCAAAGGAAACCGTCCACAAGTGCTATCCCAGCAAA